CCCTCTCTGTAACTTTTTTTCCCCCTTCCCTTCCCCCATGGCCTTCTGTTAAGTTTCTCAATATCCACATATGAGCAAAAACATATGATATCTGTCCCAAGATTTACTTTTTGAAAGAGACTGGGCAGAAGGGCAGCTGTTGGCCATTGTCTTGTTCAGTGGGTGAAGTAATTTTGATCAAGTACTAGATGAAATACTTCGCTGAATCAAGTACTTTTTACTGACCATTATTATTTTTTAATCTATAACTTGAAAAGATTAAACAAATTATTTTAAAGTTTCTTTCCATAAATTTAAATGACAGTTCTCAAGTGGATGGAAGGCCAGATAAGAGAAGTAACTAGGTCCTCAGGAGAGGGATTGATGATTTATTTGATTTTATATTCAAGCATCTTGTATAGAAGTTATGGTATGATTATACTGTTGAACATTTCTTTGAGTTAAATAGCATAGGAGTGAAGTGTACTTTTAATTAATTTAGAAAAACATTGAAGAAAACTTTAAAATCACAAGGGAAGCAATTTGCAAAGCTTAAGCTTTTCTCCATGCATTATATATCTATTTTTTTTCTATACAGTAAATGCTTTCAAAGGGTTAAAATATCCTGAGAGATGCCTAGCCAACCATTCCAATAAGTATGTTAGTTTTAGAAGAAATATTATGCAATTATGGTTTTTTTTCCTGTTGAAATTGACAGATCTTGACACAGAGCTAACATTTACTGAGCAGTTTTCTAAGTATTTGACACATATTTTCTCATTTGATACAGAAAACTCTGGGAAGTAAGTGCCATTATTTTCCCCAATTTACAAATGAGGGAATGGAAGCACAAGAAGTTTAAGTTATGTGTTCAAGGTTGTCTGCTAATAAGAAGCACAGAGAGGATTAAAATTCAGGACATCTTTTTCTAGATTCCAGTCCTAATGCTGCTGTGTATTTAAGAAAGAGAATAAAATTGAATTTAATATAAATTAGTTATTGAAATAGTTGCATATAATTTCAGATTCCAATTTCAATTTGGTAGTTGTGTTAAAATTTATGATTTATGTAGTAATTTTCTATTAAACTATAAAAAAGCTCATTGACCATATGGGATATTGGTTCATATAATTAAAAAGGGGTTTTGTGACATAATGATTTGATATCTTAAAATGCATTTTTTTTTACTCTCTCAAAAAGTTAAAATCTTAGAGTGTTACAACTAATTTGCATAAGGAGCTTATTCTAAAATAGTATCCATCATAGAAAGAAAATAATTACATTGGGATATTATAGAGAGTCACTCAGTGTAGTGGGAAGTAGAAGCAGAAAAATAAGAATTTGAATCTCTTCTGTTCTACTTACTAGCTGTATGACCCTAGTTTAAATCTCCAAACACTCTGAACATTAGTTTTCTCATTTATTAAGTGGGAAGGATATAATATCTTTATTACAGGACTTGAGTAAAGAGTGTAAATGTAATGGTGCAGCTTAGAATAATACACAGTAAGACTCAGTAAAATCAACTCTGTTATTACTAAGTTTTTTTTTTTAAGTTTATTTATTTTGAGAGAGAAACAGAGAAAGCAAGTAGGGGATAGGCAAAGAGAGGGAGAGAGAGAATTCCAAGCAGGCTCTGCACTGTTAGCGCAGAGCCTGATGTGGGGCTCTCACTCACAAACCGTGAGCTCCTGACCTGAGCCAAAACCAAGAGTCAGACACTCGACTGACTGAGCCACCCAGGTGACCAGTTACTATTAACATTTTTATAAAGAATAATTTATTGTGTAAATGAACTTAGATTTTAGCAAAGGAGTTTAGTATTTTTTATAATCAGAAACCCAACTACTTTCTGGATCAAAACCTGGGTTATTTTTTTCAGAAATACCATATTTTAGAAAAACTGCAAGCTTTGAAGTACCAAAATTGTTGCTTATTAGGGAAATATTATGGATACTCCTTAAGCTTATCTTTCAGAAGTTAATATTAAGCAAAATGGAATCCACTCAGGGAAAATGGCAAAATAATACTTTTATAAAAATTAAAATGATTCTTTAATCAGAAAATCTTAGTAGTAGCTGGAAAATTAATTGCAAGATTTTATTTTAATTATTCAGTCTATTATGTGGTGGAAAATAAACAAGGTAAATTAAATTATTTTTTAATTAAGCTTATGAGGTAAAAATAAATCAACACAATCACTTTGAAAATTTTTGGAGTGGATTATTAGTTCATAATGCACAGAGCTATCAATATTTTGGCAGCTCTTATTATGAGCAGTTACCTCTTGGCAACAAAGCAGCTGATACATAGTAATTCACAATATCAAGTCCTTTAAGCATATGTGTTCATTTGTAAGTGAAGGAAAATATTAACTGTAATTGCAGTGGTTATGGATGCCAAAATTAATGAGAACAGTAATGCTTTATCAGTTTTGGTCATTAACCCATGAAGAAAAGTGGATTCTTCTCTATTCATGTTAGTAAAAACTTATCCATATTTTTATCACTATATCAACAATTTTAGACATATCTTCCGAAGTTTATTTGTGGGGGGAAATAACTGCTATATTATATATAGTAGCCCAACTGGCATGTACTCCAATCTGTGACTAGTTTAGATAAGTCTTCTGGCCCTGATTTAAGATGGGCCCTGGAGATCCACTTTGGAGCCTGTTGCCATGTTAGCCATACCAATCGCGAGGAAAGGCCTATAAATGTGTTTTCTCCTTCGTACGCTAAAAATATTTGCAGTCTGTGCTCTACCATCTATGGTGAGCCACTGTGTTCCCCTTGACTCCATTTGATCAGAGAATATTCAAATGTGGAAACCGTGGAGAAGATTTTGATTCTGTTCCATGTGATAATGCTGCTTTTAATTAAATGTTATTGTGCTCAATTTGAAAGAGCTCAAACTGGAATCACTGCAGTTCCCTAAAGGTTATATCTATACTGGGAAATGAAATCTGCAACATATTCTTTTGAAGTATCACGATGTATCCTGCTGCATCATTATAATCTTGATAGTCTATGTGGGCCATGGAACAATAGTCTTTCTATGTGATCCTTGCATCCAGATCAGCAAGGCATTTTAATTCAATGTCCAATTAATGTGTTCATCCATGAGAAAAGATAAGATCTGAATTGGTCTGTTGGTGGTCTTCTTGACACTGATTTAAAAATTCTTCTCAACTAAAGCTTGACACTAATTTTGAGAATTCTCACATAAACCTTCTCTCAAACTACTTAACATATTTATAATATCCATTTTTGAAGTAATCAAGAAAGGATATTTTATTATTTATTTGATGTGATATTATAGATTTCTAGTCTCACTTATAACATTTCTATTGATATAATGAATGGATAATTAAAAAAACTACAAGTGGTAGTTCATTATACATAGATATTTTTATACATAGATATTTTATACGTAATATTTTTATATTATATAAAAAGCCATTTGGGTTATAGTGCTAGGTACTGGATGACTTGGATTTAGTCCCAGCGTTGTCACTGACTAGCATCTATCTTGTACAAATCACATAGCTTTTCTGAGCCCAATTCTTTATATGCAGAATAAGCATAATATTTTTCCTTCTTTCCTTCTATTATCAAATACTTATCAATCACCTATTAGGTGCTGGGCACTCTGCTATCATTAGAGATATAAAGATGAGTTAAAATAGATACAATCCCTGTGTTCATAAAACCTATAGTCTAGTGAGAAAGATGGATATCAATCAAGCAGTTACAAATACAAATGGAAATTTCCGTCAATGACAAGCGCTATGAAGTGCTTAAAATGGGGGTGAGTTAGGTGGAGAAGAGATTTGAACAAGTCAAGATGGTCAGGAAAGGCTGAGGAAAAGATGAGTTGAGAACTGACCAGTGAAGGTTTAACTCAGAGAAGAATAAGGAACTGTGTTCCAAGGCCAGGGAACTGCAAATAGCAGGTATGAGACGCTGAAAAGCAGCCGTGGTGGCTGAACAAAGAATGAGGATCAAATAGGTTGTGTGAGACACTTTTTCTTCTTCTTTTGTAAGTTGCAAAATACTATAATATTGTAAAGTGTGAATTTCCATATAAATAATAGATTTGCAGGGCTTTTCAATAGAGACTAAGATGAAAATACAGAAAATAGCTGATTTTGATATTTATGAAAACCAGAAATTAACAAAGGCTTAATTTTGAGTACACCGCACCCCTGGCAATAAACAGTTAATAAACTGCTAATGTATTCCTGGCAGGAATGGTTGGAGGGGGGCAGGCACAGGGAAGGCAAAGTAAAAATATGGCCTCTTCCTTCAGGAGTTTACTGGTAACTACAAATTTATCTCCATGAACCTACTATATAAAATTATAAAAACAAATCCTAAAAAATATTTCTTCTTCCCACTACTCCAAATATAGACTAAATGCCACTCGGTAGACAACTATGGAAGGCACTGACCACCAGAAATAGAGTAAAAGAAGTCATTAACTTCAACATTAGCTTCTGCTAACACAGAATTAACTTTGTCATTATTGATATACATTTATTGCATTTACCTTGCATTTGGAATTCAGCATATGTGTGTATAGTATACACATGCATATCCATGCCCCTTCACACATACACATATGCATTGTAAAGTACATTATGATATCATTATTTAATTTTGACGTTTTTTTATTTTTGAGACAGAGACAGAGCATGAACAGGGGAGGGGCAGAGAGAGGGAGACACAGAATCTGAAGCAGGCTCCAGCCTCTGAGCTGTCAGCACAGAGCCTGACACGGGGTTCGAACTCACAGACCGTGAGATCATGACCTGAGCCAAAGTCGGACGCTTAACCAACTGAGCCACCCAGGCGCCCCATGATATCATTATTTTAAAACTGAAATCAAATTTTATTATTAACTCTCAGTGCTAAATATATTACAAACTACTACATATTGAAAACTAACAATCCAGCAATCTTTCCAGTATTTTCCCTTGAGGTCAGACAAATTTACATCATTTCTCTTTTTCTTATCAGGAACAACTCTAACTCTTCTGAGTGAACCTTTTACTACAGGTTAGTATATTAATTCCCGGTTTTATATGTGAAAAAAAATCTAACGGGGAAAATTATTAGTAACTTTGGGTTTTTAAGAAAGAATTTATATGAGAGTTTTGCTTTTGACAAAACGTTGCGAACAAGTAATTTATTAAGCTTTTCCCACTGATTTAAAATTCTTTAAAAAGCCTGAATTTATCTTGTTTTTGACCAGTTTATATTGGCTGGCTATAATATGGTTTCTAGTTTTATTTTTTTCCTTATCAGTAACTATTAGTAGAGTATAACAGAAATAAATAACATCAAGCTCAAAATTTAAAAAAGTAATATATAGGATAAGAGAAAACATGTGTATATCTAATGATGTATTTTGCTCTTTTAGGCGTTCTAAGTGTAAAAGTAGCAATTAGCTCTTTCATGATATTTCATCATTGTTATTATCCCTGAGTGACAGTGTGATTAGAGCTTAAGATTCCATTTATTTGAAAGCAACCTCATTGAGACAAATATATGAAGACTTAGCATGACCCAATTTAAGATGCCTAGAACATAACTATAAAAAAAAAAGCAATAACAACAACAAAATAGTAAAAACTAAACCAAAATCTTTGAGGAAATTATAGTAGAACAAAATCTTAGGGAACTCTGGACAAAAAGTCATTGGATTCACACTTTCATTTTCTGGAGTGGGAACTGACTGAATAGTTAAATCACCCACCCATTGGAAACAAAATCCAAGTATACTTGACATGAGAAGCTCATTTTATGTTTTTCGCAGGTGTTATTGGAACTCCCGTTCCCGTGACCGTCAGTGCTGGCACCGCAGGCACGACTGTAGTGTACCCCGCCCCCACCAGTCCTGGGCACATGGCAGGTAAACTGAATTCAGAACAAGGTATACCATCCACAGCTAAGCAACTGGTTTCAGGCAATGCTTCTCAGGACAATATTGTATAAAATAAAGATATCTGAGTTAGGTATAATATCAGCCTTAGGTATTTTTTATACATAATTAAAATGTAGAACTTTAGGGGGTGCCTGGGTGGCTCAGTCAGTTAAGCATCCAACTCTTGATTTTTGCCTCAGGTCCTAATCTCACCGTTTATACCATGGAGCCCCACACTGGGCTCTGTGCTGACAGGGCAGATCCTATTTGTGATTCTGTCTGTCTGTCTGTCTGTCTCTCTCTCTCTTTGCCTATCCCCCACTTGCACTTTATGTTGCATTTATGTATTCAATAATATTTATATGGCACACTAAAACTTCTGAGTTATTCTCAAATGGAAAATTAATTTAATTCACATTAACACCATTAGGTATTTTTATGCCCAGAAAGAAGAAAATAATAAAAGGTCTCAAAACTGGCAGAGGCAGGATTAGAACCCAGAGCTCTTATCCTCCCCTGTAATGGCCCCACAGTTTGTGATCTGTGCATAAGAGCATGCATCCAAGAAAAGCCAGTGAGAATATGCTTATCATTGTGCATCATTGACTAAATTTTAACTATTGTTGGTTTCAAGAATAAAATATTATTGACATTTTTTAAAGCATAGATGATTTTAATTAAAAACAAACAAGCCTGCCCCTTAATCAGTCAGTAATTTCAAACACCTCTTAAAATTCCTCTGAGTCACATTTGCCTCTGCCTCTTGCTCAGGTGTTAAACAGTTTCCATTTAATACCTGCAGTTGTCCACATGGCTCATCTTCCTCCAACACAGGTGTTCAAAGTGTGGTTCCAAGACCAACAGCCTCAGTGTCTCCTGGGAATTTTTTAGAAATGCAGATTTTCAGGCCCATCTGCTTTGATTCAGAAGCTTTTGAAGTGAAGCCCAGCAAACCATATTAACAAGCCCTTTAAGCAACTGATGCATATCAAAGTTGAGAACATTTCCACTCTTTCCCCACTTCTGTCCCAATTTACTCTTTAGTCAATACCACGCCAGAATGAACTTCCAAAAATTCAACTGTCTTCAGGTCATTCGACAATTGTTCTGATTGCTTTTAGGATAAATCAAAACTCCTTTACATACCATTAAAAATCATTTCTTTAGTATATGCAATGGGACTTCGCTTTACATATTTATTAATGAATCCATGGCCTGGTTTTATTTTCCTACATTTGTTTTCCTCTAGCAGATTTCTTGATTTAAAATTTTTGTTTTAAATACTATAATAAATTACAGTTTACATAAAAATAACATATTAAAAGATATAATGTACAGTAGCACAAGAAACTGGTCGATTCCAGTTAGATCAGTGAATTTACTGAACTCTTAGGGTAATGACCATCTAGTTTATATTTCCAAAAATTTGAATCAGAATTACTGGATCATGATGATGAGTCAATCAGCTATCTCTTTTGGGGATCAGACAATCTGTACAATGGTTTTGAGCAGGGCTGCTCCAAGTTTGGTCCACAAAGGTATGCCATCCAGAACTGTTTGTTTTACTGGTCCATGATGTAGTAAGAATTGAGCAGCAGTTTGACACAGTGATTTCGTATCTGTTGAATAAAATTTAATGTTTTCTTTGGTTTCACTTTTTAAATTTTCATTTCTTCACTTTTATGGCATTCTCCCCCTTCCTCCTCCCAAAATAAGGTAGATTGGAAATTTTACAAAATTTCTCTCTTACCACAGTTGATTTGAGAAGTACATTTGGAGTATCAACTCCAGGGTGAGACTGCCTGGGTTTGGCTCCTGGATCTGTTGCCAAATAACTGGGTGGCCCGGAGTACTTCACTTCACCACGTCATCAGTGGGAATGATAATACTGCCAGCTCTGGAGGATTTCTATAAGATTAAGTAAGTTGATTTAGGTCTAGTGTATTTCTGAAACTGCTGTATTTTATCAGGAGGAACAACAGGCAGCCCTACTGCACCAGCAAGAGGAGGTGAAGACAGCACACCCAGGGAACCAAGCACAGGGGCGACAAGCCCAGGGAAACCAGGCAAGTCAGATACACATTTTAGCACCTATTAAATACACTGAATATACCACAGGTTGAACTAAAGATTAAGCTCTATGTGGGGCACTTGGGTGGCTCAGTCGGTTAAGCATCTGACTTCAGATCAGATCACAGTCTCACAGTTTTTGAGTTCAAGACTCGCATCGGGTTCCAAGATGCCCTCGTGGAGACTACTTGGGATTCTCTCTCTCTTCCTCTCTCTCTGCTCCTCCCACACTCTCTCTTTCTCTCAAAATAAATAACCTTAAAAAAAGATTAAGCTCTATATGATATTAGGCTGATTTTAGATATCTAGCTGCAGAAATCCTAGGAGTCCTTTAAGATTCTTTTGTCTTGGAAACCTCAATACTGTCCTATCAGAAAAGAGTGATATATAGAATCCTGCAACTCGAGAAGTAAACCCCTTTCCCCACTGTTGTGTCAGGGACCCCAGAGGTTTCAGAGGGCTTCACAACAGCACCTGGGCGTGAGAACACAAATGGAGACACAACTGCCCCAGGCTCAACCGTGGGAGGCAGACCAGGTATGGAAGTGCAAGGTCTAAAGCATCTTCTTACTGACCTTAGGGAAGCTGCCAGTGGCTTCTGAGTGATTAGTTTAATTATTACTGCACGTATTCAGTATCCCTGTTTTTATGAGCTTAATGGCAGTGTTTCTCCAACATCAGCTCAGATGTGATATAGAGCAAAACATGATATATTTTAAACTGCTAGATTCCTGCTTGAGGACTTCTGAAACTGTGAGTCTGGAGTGGGATTAGGGTCATGGTTTCCAATCTTGGCTACAAATTAGAACTGAGTAGAGAAATGAACAAATATATGAAACAATATGTAAACAAATATATGAAAAGTATTTTGAAAGCAGAGAACAGCACAATCTGTTCTGCTTCACCAAAGATCATGATTCATATTTAGTTTTCATTTTGAAAGGGACTACTGGATCATCAGCTAGTGATACAACTAGATCCCCAAGTAGTGAAGTGACACAATCTGAAGGCAAGTTAGGTGAGTAGAGAATGTCATTCAGAGACCATGGTTTTTGTAAAAACAAAACAAAACAAAATCCCCCAAACAAGACAGAAGAGTCTTTTGTCAGAACCCTGCTGATTTAACTTGTTTTGGTTAATCAAATGCCCAAGAAGGATGTTGAATGGTATAAAAATAATTAAGTTTTCAGTATGATATTTTTTTTTCTGGTTTCTCCAAATCTTCCCTTCAAAAATGCCAAAGTACTAGATTAAAGCTACAGTAATGTACATGCTGTCCCAGTACTGTGTTTATCAAGTGTAACAGGAGAACCTGTTGGAACTACTACTGGAACTGGTGATGGCATCACAACTAGATGACCTTTCACTGATTGCAGCCCAGCTAGGAATTCAGCAGACAAGGCACAGGCTCACCTGGGCATTTTGGTGGTGCTCCATCATGAGCTTAGCTGAGACCTCAAGTTTTTATGAGACATTTAAATGAATTTAGCAATGGCTATAGTTTTAATGGCTGTTATTTTAGGACAAATGAATATGAGTAGCTTGGGCATTTTCATTGCAACCATCGATGAAGACTAGAATTTCCAGATGAAAACACAGGATGTCATTTAAATTTGAATTTCACATAAATAAAGAATACTTTGTTATAAGTATGTCCCATTGGGATGATTGTTATTTATCTGGAATTCCAATTTAACTGGACGTCTTGTGTTATCATTTGCTAAATCTGGCAACCCCACTGTGGACTGAGCACCATTGTTCTTCTCAATTAGGAACAACTGAAGGGGAAAATGCAGCCACCACTGGAACTGTTGGTGAAAACACTTCCCGAGCCTCAGGTACTGAATGAACATAATCAGAATGAATCCAGACAAGAGAAATGTGATTTCTTTACTTATGATTTTTACAGAGACAAAGCTTCCTGAAGAATTTAATTATCATTATTTGTGTAATGTCAAAACTGAAGAGGGGCGCCTGGGTGGCGCAGTCGGTTAAGCGTCCGACTTCAGCCAGGTCACGATCTCGCGGTCCGTGAGTTCGAGCGCCGCGTCAGGCTCTGGGCTGATGGCTCAGAACCTGGAGCCTGTTTCCGATTCTGTGTCTCCCTCTCTCTCTGCCCCTCCCCCGTTCATGCTCTGTCTCTCTCTGTCCCAAAAAAAAAAAAAAAAAAAAAAAAAAAAAAAAAAAAAAAAAAGTTGAAAAACAATTTAAAAAAACTGAAGAAGATCAGAAATAAATCAAGAGGTATTTGTTGTGTGTGTAACATCAAACTGATGTTACACAGAGCATCAGACTGATGCTCCAGAGAACACAGGAGAATAGTAATGTACTTGTTTTCTTAGAACTTGTTTTTTGAGCAGGAGAAATGAATATTTATATACATGCAAAGGCAAATACCATGTAAGACAGAAAATAGTCAATATCAAGGAAATGTTCAGTGACAAACATTGGAGTGGGAACTCAAGAGGAAATTCTAGTAAGAGAACTGATTAGATAGGGTTAAAAACAACAGGATTATTCTAGTTTGAACATTATATGATATGATCAGTGTACTATATCTATACACTTTAACAAGCAAAAACTCAAAACATAAGTGAGTTGGGTGGAATTTTAGGGATATATTCAATTTCATGGGAATAACAACAGTCATTTTTCAGTTGTTGCGGTAATATGTTTGAAAACAAAATCTTCTCTCAGCCCAGAGACCCAGTCCATAAAGGTAGTAGAGAAGGAAAATAGTTTTATAATTGAATTAGCCTTAACCTAGAAAGTGATGCAAATTACAGACAATTTACTAAGAGATTGTAAAAACAGAAAGGAATCTCACCAAGCAGACAACCCTTTACATACATATTCTCAAGAAAAATTATTACTAGTTTTGAAGTAAGAGGACCTTAAAACCCCATTTATTATACATAGTTCATCTTAAATTCACTTAGTAGTTGGGATGACAATTTGGTTAGTTGATTTTATACGAAGAAAATAAACTCCAGTCTTGAAGGAGAAAGGTTTTTTTTTTTTTTTAATGTTTATTTATTTTTGAGTTTATTTGAGAGAGAGAAAGAGAGCACCAGCAAGGGAGGGACAAAGAGAGAGGGAGACACAGAATCTGAAGCAGGCTCCAAGCTGTCAGCACAGAGCCCCAGACTGGCTTCAAACCCAAGAACTGAGATCATGACCTGAGCCAAAGTCTGACATTACCCACTGAGCCACTTGACAAGAGGAAGTTTTATAACTAGAGGGAGATAAGGCTACTATCTCCCTTGATGTTTACATTTCAAAGAGCCCCCAGGTCCTTGAGAAAGACCTAGAATGACCTAGATCATTAGGCCTATTTAGATGTTTTGAAGATTTGCACACATTTCAAAGAGAAAAAAACCTAAAATTACAAATTTGTTCTAAGCAAAGGAAAGGGAAAGTCTCTTTCCTTACTTTCACCAGAAAGAATTAAGCCTTTTGTTTTAAATTTGTGTTTGTCCTTATATAAGCCATCCTCAAAAGATGATCAATTTCATATTTTAATTACCTAATTCTTCTTTCTATTGTAAAATTAAGCCATGCCTAGGGTATTGCCTAAAGCCACTTCCAGAACCAGAGGTGACAACACCCCTGGGGAAGCAGGCACTAGAACTCCAAGTCCTGGGAAAGCAGACAAGGCTGGTCCTGACTTTCCAGCTGTGTTCAACCATACCTTCCTCAGCAGGGTGTGATCTGGACTAACCTGGTTTTTAATTTGCTTTTATGGTCTTAGAATTGAGTAGCATTTAAACTCAAAGACCCAATGGGGAAAAAGGAGTCAGGGAAATGTTGGCTGCATACATTAGATCTACACACACTTCCTTCTACAAACCATAAATATCACAGAGCCCACACCTAGAGTGGTTAGAAGGAGAGAGGAGACTAAGACTTCAATGACTGGGAAAGATGACTCTGGGGCTCATAGTGGAGCTGAGATTCAGGTCAGGGCATCCAAGAAGAAAGGGGAATATAAAGAAGTGCTTAATAGTGGAAGAACATAGATAGCATCAACTAGGATTTATCCCTGGAGGGAAAGGGCCGTACCCTGAATGGAGACTACTGAGAGAAGATCTGAGACCTCACAAGTCAGAGCTCTTGTGGATGTGGAGTTGAAAGAAATAAGATTGGAGAGTTCATGGAATGAGGACTGGCAGTCATAGAACCATGAGAAGGCACTAGACTGTGTGAAGGCAAGGGAAGGGCACCGGAAGATAGAAGAATCCTTGTGGCCTGGGTGTCAAAGAAAAAAGAGAGAAATATTTAAAGCCGAGAACCTCAAGAAAACAGGATAGTAATTAAGAATTAGAAGACAGACAAAGGAAAGAAGCCACTTAAAAAGAAGTTTCTCGGGGTGCCTGGGTTGAACATCCAGCTCTTCATTTTGGCTCAGGTCATGATCTCATGGTTCATTAGTTGAAGCCCCACATCAGGCTCTGCACTGACAGCATGGAGCCTGCTTGGGATTCTCTCTCTCTCTCTCTCTCTCTCTCTCTCTTTCTCTCAAAATAAATAAATAAACTTTAAAAAATAAATAAAAAAGAAGCTTCCCTTCACCATAACCTAAGACGAAGCTCCTGATCTGCAAAATCTGGTGAGCCATTGCAAAAGCCTCTCTGTCCCTACTGCATAGGATCTCCTGCCATCATTGTTTCAAGAAAATCCAATACAAAAAAAACATGAAAAAGAAAAAGAAAATGCTGGGGCGCCTGGGTGGCGCAGTCGGTTAAGCGTCCGATTCAGCCAGGTCACGATCTCGCGGTCCGTGAGTTCGAGCCCCGAGTTCGAGCCCC